CCATCTGAAACAAATGTTTCCAAAGATCCGCAATGTGAAGCTACACATTGTGAGCACGGTGACAACGTTGCCTGCTGCGAAGGCAAAGGATATCCGTGCACAATTAGTAAATATCATTAAGTTTCAGAAACCGGGCCAGCCAAATCTTCCGCGAACTAAACGTATGACATCAAATTACTTGAAGAAAGATCACAACGTTATACACACAAAGTCGGACAAAGGAAATACCCTGGTTGTAGTGAATAGGTCAGAAAATTTGGAAAAAATGGAGCAGCATTCGGAGATGGGTACATGTAGGGTAATCGTTGACAAGCCCGGGAGATAGGTAATGAAGAAGAGCAAGACAGAGATTGGTAACTGTTTAAAAACCATGAAGGACAATTTAGGAGCAGGCAAATGGTACAGTCTCTACCAAAAAGCGACTTTGCCTCCAAGGATTTCTGGCTTGCCAAAAGTACACAAACCCGAAGTTCCGTACGGCCTATGGTCTACGGTATAGGCTCCCCGACCCATGAACTCGCTAGATATTTGGCGAATGAGTACATTCATGAAAACTCTTATGAGTTTACTCAAAAGATAGCAAGTCTCAAAATCGACCCTGATGTGTTGATGGTAAGGTTGGATGTGACATCACTTTTCACCAAGATACCCAAAAGAGAAGCGCAGGGAATAGGAAGAGGTTGTCTAAATAAAGACGTCACCGTGCGTGATCGAACAAAATTTACCGTTAACCAGATAATCGAGGGCATGACAGTGTGTCTTAACATGTCTTACTTCGTTTTTCAGTTGAAGTTATACAGTCAGGAACAAGGTATCGCCATGAGATCCCCAATATTCCCTGTACTGGCGAGCTTGTATTTGAAAGACTTCGAGAACAGAGCGTTAACAAATATCATTAAGTCACCAAAACGTTGGTGGCGTTATGTAGACGATACCTATGTACTTGTTAAACGGGATAAGAAGGAAGAGTTGCTTGATCACTTACACTCCATTGATGAGAGCATACAGTTTACTATTGAACTGAAGTCTTGTAGCGGTACAATACAACTTCTTGACTGCCTGGTTCACAGGAAGAGGGAAATATAAAGACGCCAGTATGTCGCAAGCCAACAGATACAGACGGCGTACTCCACTACACTTCGGGTCATCCGAAACAGGTTTACGCTGGGATAGCCTCAGCGCTGTTATACAGGGCACAAACCCTGTGTACGATGGAGGAGGACAAAAAGGCAGCGCGAAAAGTTGCAATGGGTAAACTATTAGAAAGTGGTTACCCACGGCGGCTAGACAAACGCCACCTACATAAAGTGCTAAACATACAGTCAAGACTCACAACGGAGTGGATAGGAACGGTAGCAATTCCGCACAAGGAAGGCATTTCGAAGGCAATTAGGAGGGTACTAAACAAGGTAGATATGAAGGTGCTTTATCAGCGTGGTCAAACGCTGCATTCAACGCTGGTATACCTGAAGGACCCTCTCACAAAGGATAGGACGACTAACTGTGTACATAAGCTAAACAGCGAGAGCGGTAGGCACACTAATTTCAGAGTACAGGAGGCGCATTTCAAGACCACCGACAAATGTGTTTGAATACCAGACAGTATTAAGAGACTCGGCCGTGGCTATACATGCATTAGACACGGGTCACCAGATCGACTTAGATAACGTAGAGGTCATTAGGAGGGGTATACGACCAATGCCCAGCGGTTGATTGCCGAAGCTTTTAAAATTACCAAATCTGACAGCTGTGTGAATAGAAAGGAGGGAGTAGAACTCTCTACTGCGTGGCGAGCGATATTAAGCCGGTTAGCCCGACAAGCGTAGCTGCGTGTGTCAGGTTGAAATGTGCTACTCTGCTCCCACTGTCATCACTATGGGCTTACTCGCCAATGTCAAGACGCACAAACGAACATCTGGGCCATTCCCACCGTGACTGAACCATCAGAGGGAATATCACGAGCTGTGACTGTAATGTCACCTTGGCTCAAGTCAAGGGTAATGCGGTTATCGTCCCTGTTCGCTATAAGGTGCCACGCTAACTGCACACTGACTTACCTGGTCTGACGAAGCTCTTGTGTCAAGTGCGAAACGTTCCTAAACAAGTATACCAAACGATTGGTACCGAATATCTCTGAACTCATGACTACTCGAGCGGTTCCAAGTATCTTTCAAGAATTTGAAAGTCAACGATGCTATTAGGCTCGGTATTCACCGGTTACTAGCAGAGAGTGCTTTCGAATACCAGCTGACTTTATTTGAGCTTGAGGCGTGCGATTCATTCAAGGCAGTGTGTACAGGATTATAGGATAGAAAAACGGCAGAGAACTACAACGAAATTAAGAAAAGCTCATTGCAGTCTGTCAGGCTGTTGGTGCTCGAACAGAAGTCAAGAATCTCTTTCTACAAAATTACCTTAACATTTACCTTTGGGAATTTCGGATCCGTTTGCGAGGAACATGGTGAGCGCTTACACCAGGACATCTAAGTCATAGAGCATCGCTGCAGTGACATGGACACACCTTCTATGCTGAGTAACATGCTGGTCTCTGCAGCTTGAGGGCACTGGATCATACAAGCGATGATCTCGGCGAGGTCATCATTTCCCAGTGCTACGATGCAGTCATACTTAGGGGCCAGTGTAACATTGAGGTGTTAAACTTATGTACCATATACATGCATACTGTAAAAAAACATAAATGCAATAACTGAGGTATTCTCGACAGTGCGAGACACTTTTTCAAACGCAGGGTCATGGTAATACAAACGAGTTACATCAGCAATGGTACAGAACTATTAAAAGCTAATCAGTGCATACTGGATATACGCGTGTAGCTTTGTGTAGTATGTGTGTGGGTGCAGGTGTAATTCATCGTGTTGAGTGAATTTGTTCTAATTACTGTGCATTTATGAGTTTATTCGATGAATCCGCTAACAGGGGAAGGGATCGGATGAAATCTTCGAAGTGGTTTGCGTTCGCGAAATTTGCAAGATCCTCCGATATGGCAAGGCAGTGACTTTAGTTAGTAGCGAATTATATCCCCCATGGCACAGTGTTGTTAAGGAGATATTTATAACTGTTTATGGAGAGAACGTTCGCCAGGCGGAAACCCAGCACTTCCTGGAACACTGCCACTGGATTTTTAGCTGGACCGGTATTAACCCGAACGACCTAGCTGGCGTCACGTGGAGGATGTTCGGCCAGCCATCTGATGTTGTGTTGCAATACATTTACATATAGTTCATACGATCAAGACTGGACATTACTTAACTAATCCTTGGCTCATAACAGTGTCACGCGACGGGCCGGGAAACATCGGCATACATTTCTAGGATCAGTGGAGTGCACATTATAGGGTAGAGGAGTTGGTATTTTGTTTTACAGAATAAATGTTTTTGTTGAATAGTAATAATTGGGAAGCAGAAACTCGGACAACATGGCTAAAGAAATATCTGCGCTTGTGGTACACTTCACAAAGTTTGTTGAGCTGATGAAACGTCAAGAAATGCACTGAGATGGTTGCCCAGATTGTTGACTCCCCCCGGGGCACATCGCACCAGTTCCTTTCTGAAGAACAGTTGGCTGTAGTAATGAGCCAGTACCAGCTGTTGTTGCATTAACCCCACCCCGACAGCTATAGGATGTCCCATCTGTATAAACCATGGTTTATAATTTGCTAAAACGCCTCGGAGTTCACTACAATTTCTGATGAATGTGGCTCCATAACCAGCCATTTTAACGCGCATAATTACGGAAAATATTGTCAAATTCCTGACTGCTATTATTCGGTTGATGCCTACTTTGATCGGAGTTAAGTTTCAGGATATAAACAAAGCGCCAAAGCAGTATGTAACCTTCTAGATCTCAGGTATTGAACAAAATGGTCAAAATCATCCTAGTTGTTTATTTGTGGCGACGTATGAAGTACAAACTCTATCTCAAGCCTTACTGAAAATTCCAGCTAGGGGAGTAGCTTATGCAAGCTGGTACAATAACTGCAGAAGAAGGGTGCCCAATGAACACAGTTACGCATCGGTACCTAAATAGACAAATTCAGCCGGTAAAAGGCTGGCCACTGACCTATATTATACAAGAAAACAACAGAAAATAATGCAGCCTTGACACAGCAATCCGTATCCCTTTCGCATGGTCGCCGTCACTTTGACTGCAAACAGATACAGTATGTAGAGGCACTCAGAGCGATCACTGATTGCTTTCGCTGTACTGACCACTGGCATTCGTGATTATCCGTGTAAAACAAGGTGGATAGAACCTACAGCTATACAGGTTTATGCCATGACCAATTCCGAGTTAGCTCTTCAGCGCACACATTACTGATCTAAACCGCGGTGAGAAACGTGTGTTGGCGGTATGTTTACCAAGCAAGTCGCAAGGTGGATGACACGATCTAACTCTGCATTCCCACCAACTATTTGTTTATCACTTCATGCCCCATGGTTACTTGCCCTCCTGACATAAGTGTTATGTAATTTATAAAATGAATGATATGAGTTAATCATTAACTCCCACCACTTATTCGCTCACCTAGTTTCTGAACCATGGTTACATACCAACCAACATAACTCTTACGTAATTAGCAAGCCGTATGTCTGGACCTCAGTCTGGATGACCAAAGAAGACGCCGGCCCCATTTGATGAATGCTGACTTACCGATTATCCCCCATGTGATCGCATATCGGTGTTGCCATGACTTTACTTCACCTCTCACTGTGGAAACCGTCGCTCACACTGTACAACCCGTCTAGACCACCCCCACAACCATCCAGACTTGAGTCATCCTCTCGCTCCAGGAGTACGCATCTCCATGTTAC